AAATCTCTTCTGCTTTTGGCTAGTAGCTCAGAAGTGACGATGATTTTTTTCCTTGACTTCCATACCTGATAGGGCAAAATAGTCACTTCAAATGATCCTAGTGAATGGACTTTCTGAAGTCTTGAATTTTTGAGCAGTTGGAAAGACCATTCGTATTCACAGCAGAGCTGGCCTAAGTCTGGATTTTCAGCTCCTTTTCACTGCATTTCTAGTCTGCTTGTTCTTTTCATTTTGGCCTTGTTAGTTTTTATTGATTGGTGAATGGAGAAAGCACAGACTCACAGAAAACAAAAACAAGCGAGAAAAAATGTTGAGACAGTATTTTTTGTTTCATTACTGTGCTCCTTCACAGCTCGTATTCTGACATTTAAACCAACATAATATGCATGTCTCTGTTCATTACACTCCTTTGCACATATAGTGACAGCCATAAAGGTGGAAAGAAAAAATCAAGAACAGTACCAACCTTTGTAGGTTAAGTAATAAAGAAAAGAGAAAAATAAGGAGAAAACACTTCTAAAAGAGTAAAAATAACCACAATCATGACTTTACATAGGTTAGTCAAGTAACTTTGTGAAAGGGAAAATAATATGGAATTCTAGTCAGAAATAACTAGCTTTCTGTCCCACAATTTATTGTTTTGGATATGTATCTTTGAGCTGATCTATTTCTAGTGTTTGAGCCGCAGTAAATGGTGCAGGGAGACTGATGAAACTCAAAATAGACTTAAAGATATTCAGGAATTTGATGTAGACCCATTAAAATGGGAATGATTATAGGAAAGCCGCTTACATGTATTGGATATAGGATATTGGTACCATTTGATTATATCTAAGCTATTTTCTAAAAAGCTGGTGCATATAGATACGTGTGTGTGTGTATGTATCACATCATGCTTCCAAATAGAAATACTACTTTGGAATTGATAAATGTTAGAATTTTTATTCTACTTTTATATCAAAGCTAATTAACCAGGATATAATGCTATTTTGAGTTCAAGGTAGCTAGTCTAGAATTAACATTGACACTTTGATAAGTCTAGAGATTCCTCTGATTTTAGAAGTATTGTAAGAGCTAACTTAATGAGTATATATATGTGTGGGTATATATCTACCTACGTATGTTATAGAACACAYAGTTCTGTTTTTTCCATTGGTTCTCAGAGAACTACACTGTCCTGCGTAAGACTGTAGATTTTGCTGAAATTTATGGGCAAAATAAAAAGAACAAGAGACACTTCAGCTTTCTAGTTGTTTAACATTTTTTTCTAACGTTTTTAATTTTTGTCATTTCATATTCTTTCTGGAATGTCCATTGCAGTTTGTTTCTTCCTGTTGAAGACATTAAAATTGTCTCTGACTTCTTTTGTGGAGAGTTTTGAAATTTGTGAACTTTCCTCATAATTGAAAGAGCCAAAATTTGAGTATTAAAAAAAAAAAAATAGGTTTTCTCAACACTATTAATTGCATACTGCTAGTCTTGTAGTACTCTGTAAAAGTGGACCTGATTAGAATACCCTGGTTTTACAGATGGGGAAAGTGTTCCTTCAGACTCTTGCATGATCTTCCCTAAAATCCTAGGTGGCAAGGAGTTGAGGGGAAAATTTCTACTTTTCTTCGTTACTCTTCTCAGTTTCTGTGCTACCTTCAGGTCTGCATCTAAAATGCCCAGGTATCAAAATATTTATTCATCAGAGGAAACTGTGTTTGGGAAATCTGTGCTACAGAATAAATCCACCCATAGACAGGCCTGGGAAAGGTGAGCTGTGCTCTAGCCAGATTAGCTGGAGCAGCTGATARCGAAGCTCCTTGGAGCATGACKGGGGAAAAAAAAGGAAGGAAAAAAAAAACCAAAAAATGCGCACACATACAAAATCCTCCACACATCCTTGAGTGCTCTTGACTGATTTTGTTCTCAGTTTTTTTCAGKTTTTTTTTTTTTCTGATTTCTCTGGCAGGCAGGAGGAGAGAGGCCTGAGAGGGACAGCAATGCTTGGAAGAGCAGTGAACAACTGTGCTGTAGCTGTGATTTTTGTCCAGTTGCTTCCCAAATTCGAGGGGTGCTTGAGACTTGGGGTRTCTACAATTCCTACATCAGAGGGGAGGCAGCCCCGCGGGCTGGTGGCTCAGGTGTATGTTTTAGCTTTCTATTATCTTTCACCTGGAGAGCAGCTATTTGGAGATGCTTTATGCTCGCACACAAACTCCCTCTCTTCCCCCTCCTTCCCTCCTCAACTTTTATGTGGAGTAGGAGCTTTATAGACCCATTCAAAGAAGGCCATGCGGGATAACAGCAACATGGTTCTGTATCTGCAGCCAGCAGCTGCCCTGAAGCAGTCCTGGGGCTGTGGAGATGGAAACGGAGACCCAAGAAAGCTCTGATGGACACAAGCCCTTCATAAGCATGTGCACCCTCTGCAGATGCCATCTGATGCATCACCAGGGAGATGGGCATGTCAGGAAGACCTCCAAAAAGAAAGGATGTGTGTGTGTGTTTGGGGGGACCCTTGAGAGACCCCTTCAAGCAGACTGAGTCACCWTTTCCACAGCACTGGGGCCTGTGAGCCTGGAGGAGAGGAGGCTTGCAGACAGGTCCCATCACTGATGAGGCAAGTGGACCAGGCAGAGCACTTGGTGGCCAGGCCAGGTCTTGTGGTGGGGCAGGGCTGAAGCCCAGGCAATGGTGAATGAAAGTGGTCTCTGTGGCCGTGACCTCCCTGCAGCCTGTTGCCAAGGTGGATGGGTTGTGCTGGTTGAGTTCTGGTAGCCACACCTTCAGTGGGTGATGTGCTTGGGTTGCTCATGATTCCCTGCAGGATCTTCTCTTTTGCTAAGGATTGTTCGTGACTCATTTTATAGCCAGTTAGTTTTCCTCAGGGTTGTCAGGGTGAGGCCCTTACTCAGGCATAACCAGTATGTGGTCATGATGAACCGTGAGGAAGTGGAAATGGGCGCATGGAGCAGGGGGAGGCTGCTGTTCTTCTCATGAATGCATCTTCCACAATGAATGAAGTAGAAGTGCCAGATCTACTGCTGACAGACCGCTTGGCTCTCTGAGACACTCGCTTCATGCTCCCTCACATCCTCAGCCCTGCGTGGCCGTGCTGCCGCAGTCCATCCTGCAGATCTGACCCTTTGGGAAGGGACAGCGATTGGCACAGCTGCCAGCAGCAGTCACAAGCTCTGTTTGCTTCCCCTGTGGGAGGAAGAGCTTCCCTGGCTCTTCTCCACGTTGCTGCCAACTTCCACAGAGCTGATAGGAACTGTTTTCTCCGGTCTTTGCTGCTTTTCTGAACTGGCTGAAATTGAGTGATGAATACAAAAGTTATCAGGGAGCAGGGCTGTATCTGTAAGCCTTGTTTGTTAGGAAGTCAGGCTGAAAATAATAACGTGAAGGTATATAGATCAGTGTTTCTGTCAGGTAGGAAGTGTCGTGCCTCTCTGATTTACTGCAGTGCTAATGGGATAGAGGGGAAGAGAAGATATACAGCACACTGGCACAGAGAAATGCAAAATAAATTAGTAGCAATAGAAATGGTCTGGTGGTTTATGTCCTAAATGTAGGAGTTGTTAAAGGATCCCATCATCTTGAAAGTCAGTAATTATTTTTTAAGGCGTTAACAAAAGAGCAGGCTGAAATGTTTTGCTGGAAACTTTTTGCTAAAATTACCTTCTTTGCTTTACCTCCTCTAACCTGCAAGGTAATTTTATTCTTGAAGTGTCTGCATTGGCAGGAGGGAGAGGCTATTTATCAAAAGAAGTAATAAAACTGCTAAACCTAGAAACACTTCCACTCTGACTAAAGCTGAAACTTCTCACTGAAGCAGTAGGAATGTTGTTTGGGAGTAGTATTTGAAGATCTGTAGTCTGACCTCCTATTCAAGGCAGAACTGGTACCATCTATAGCCTAGATCAGTCATGGTTTTGCCTAGCGTAGGTCTTGAGAGTTCCAAGGGGTAGAGGTTCTGCAAATCTTCTGGGTAACCTATTTCCTAATGTCCAGGGTCCTGGTCCAATTTCCTAATGTCCAGTCAGGGTCTCCTAGGACTCAGTTTGTGATCATTTTGCATATTGGGGAAACTGAGAGAAACTTAACCACAATCTCACAAATAGGGACATCTATTTGGAGAAGGTAAGTGGGGAAGCAGAGGGAATCTGAGAATACAGAAGAGGAAAATTCGGTTCCTTCAGCTTTTTAAAGCTATATATTTGCCAGGAGAGMTGAAGATGTGGTCCTTTGTAATCACTTTGTGGGCGGTTCTCTGTTTAGTAATTCTACCATACATATGCATGTACATACACTGAAGATTAAGAAATATCATCCCTTCTAAGTTCTCAGGTGTAGAGTCTAGTGCTTAAAAGCCTAGTTTGTTAAAGGATAGGCCAAATCCACAGTGCATGAAATCACTGTATGAGTGTGGTTTAAAGCCCTCTCTGAAACTTGTGACTTCATTTAAAATCTTTTCTTTTTCACTATAGAAGCTGGTATCAATTGATCAGTATATTTCTAGCAAAGACTTTAAGGSATGCCTGCCCCCTTCACAGTGTTCTTAGATTTTTTTTCAAGAAGGGGGACAAGTGGAGACAGGCTACAGGGTTATTCATGGGCCATAGCTGCAAAGATTGACAGTTTCAGTGCTCAGGAAACAGAGCAGAAAGCATTCAGCATTTCTACCACATACAGCGGATTTCATCTTGTATCCTGAAATGTTACGTCAAGCATTCAGCTTCTTCCCACTTCACTTCCCTTCCTAGGGTACAGGAAAGGAAATGAAGACCTGTTGGCAATATCATGCAGAGGAGTTAACAGGGAAAAGTCTGATTGGCTGAACATACATTTCTGAAAATACTTTCCATGTCAGTCTAGGCAAATGCTTTTAACAATTCATTCAATTATGTTAAGAACCCATTGAAGGAATCCTAAGCTCTCCCTGGGGTCATTTCAGTTCTATGAGATTGTAATTGTTTCAGACTAACCATGATTTCTTCTTTTGCCTTCAGGTGATTCTGATTCTGACAAAGCTGTACGACTACAACCTGGGAAGCATCACAGAGAGCTCTCTTTGGAGGTATGGAGATAAATCGAGTTAATCGCTATCTTTGTTAAACAGGAAGAGTCCAGTGCAATTTTTTTATTGAATTTATTTTGATTTTTAATATGCTAGAAACCTTCTGTCTCATATTTGTTACTTGTACTCAAAGAGGCTGAGGTCTGATTGTCATATTCATCCTGGTAATGTATTTCATGAACTTGCTGTTCTTTGATTCCCCCCTCCTCTCTTATGCAGAATCACATCAACCAATTAGTTTTTATTTATCTTATTTTTTTATTGTTTTAAAAAGAACAACCAAACAGCCTTAGACCTTTGTTTGTAACAAAGGATCTGATGGCAAGCTGGAGTCCTTGTGAAGTGGATGATATTAAGATTGAGAGGTAGTATCTGGGAATAAAATTTACTCAAATGAGTAGTAAAAGGCTGTTTATTSAGGACTGTTAGTATTGGCACTATTATCTGATTTCCACCTGTGCAGTGCTGTCTATTCTAGTGGCTTATCGGGGATGCTTTGATGCTCCAATGTTTTCAAGGCACTGTGTGAACCAAAGGAAAGAACTGGGCCATCATCTATTTCTTAAGGCTATTATTTGGTTTTGAGAGTAGATCATGTCTGTGTTTGCTTCTCCAAAAAACGGGTCTAAGTGGTGTCCCTAGTGATCCTTTCAGAAGCTGTAATGGATAAAACACAAGTTCTTTCATAGTTCTATGTATTGAACTCCTATGGGCAGTCCAGAAGCTGTGAATGGTCGATGAAGATGGACAGACTGCTGTCGTCTTTGGAAATGTTGAAACTCAAACTCTTATGAGAATGATAGACTTGTTTAGGAAAGATTTTACAGCTGCAAGGAAGAATTTTGGGTCAGAAGTTGGGAGAATAATCTTACTGTTCAAGTAACTGGGCAGGGATTTAAGAGAATGATATAGGAGGGATTTGACATGGAGTGTCATATAAACCTATAGAGTGCTCTAGCCTACACTAGCCTGCAGGGGGAAAAACAATATTTCTCTCAGGCCTGGAGAAATTGAAAAATAAAAAGAACAAACTAGAACTTAAAAATGTGTAGCATTTGTTCTGAAGAATGGCAAAAATACTGGAAAGTATAAGTATTTTGTGAGGTTAGATAAGCGGTTTCTCATGCTCTGGGGATGGCCAGAGCTGTCTATTTTATACATATTGCTGCTAGAGCAATGTATGTATGTTTTGCTATAATTAGTCATTKTACCCTTGAATGTCTTTCTCATTGTTTCATTGCTCATTGGTGAAGGTCTGGGGTTACACAATGCAAAGACACTTCTTCTTGCAAGAGCTACTTTGCTCATCTGATGTGATGTAGAATTGAGCTGAGATACTGTTTGCAAGCTGAAAACAAAACAAATCAGAGTGGACAACACAACTCTTGCTGAAATGTATGAACTTGGGCACAAAGCTGTTCTGGTAGGCTTATTCATTTCCGAACTGGTTTCTGTAATGCATGTGACAGTGACCTAAATCTTATTCCTGATTCAAAGAGAAGGAGCTGTGGATGTCATTAGAGGATGTACCACAAGCCTAAGGCCCTGGTGGAGAAATAGGCGTAGATCTAGTGAGTGAGTAAAATTGCTTTTCTGGACTTCAGCCAGTCTTAATGTTAGAACGTAATTAAATATGTAGGAGCAGCTATCTTGTTTCCTGTAGTTCAATATCCTATCTCAAAGCAGTGTAAAGAAGAATATACAAACAAGATTATCAAATATGACACTTCCTACTAGTACACTTAGACCTCATTCCTAAGTTTGAAGATTAGAGCCCTTCCTCGCTCTTCATTCTAATGTCTGAGTCTTAAATCATCTTCCATGTTTTTTGGCTATGTTGGGGTTTTTATTGCATGAGCTATCTTCTTTAATATTTCACTGAGACTGAAAAAATCTACTACCTGTGCCTTTTTTTTTTTTTTTTTTTTTTTTTTTTTTTTTTTTTTTAAGGCAAGGAGTCCCTCAAATTGTTTGAGGGACTATTTGGTTTGTTCTGAACCTATTGAGTCTAGATTAGTTTGGCACACACCGCTTTTGAGAACTTGGATACAGCTGCATGCCCAAGCATCCAGAATTCCTTGGCAAAGGCTTTGGACTGGAAGAACTAGGACAGCTAAAATCACCCCAGTTATCTTTGTACTGTTTCACTATTTTTTCCTGATCTKTTCTTTAGCATTCATGGTTGGCGTGAGTGCTGACGCTGATCTTCATTTTTGTATGAGTCACCTGCTCCTGTTGTCTTATGTAAGCCTCAGGTGACTATGTTGTGCTTCATCCTGAGCCTGGCTCTTCTTTTAGATTTCCGCTTGCTATGGCATGTTTTGGGGTCACTAATAAATATCCCTGTGAAGATCCCAGGACAGCTTCTCTGTTCTTAGTACAGTAGAAAGAAATGATAAGATGACTATATCTTACTATTTAGTGCACCTGATGGAGGTTATTAGCTTATGCTTCTCCTGGCTGCTTAAGTGACATATTAATTTAAATCTTTCTGCTTGTTTAAAAAGGATAGAGAAATAGAATTGAGAGGAGAAACATATTCTGCCTTTGAATTTATTTCCTGCCTCAAGGTTTGATGTTTGGGAATGAAAGAAAGCATGATCTTGGGTCTGGCTTGATTTCTTATGTCAAGAATTCTGTTTCTGAAGGATGGAGGAAAAAGGTAATTCTGCTAGTGCCTACAGCTGAAGAGGAAACTGCCTTGAATGCATGACAAAGAAATACCACTCCTGTGCAGAGTGCATTCAGTAGGGCTGATGAATGATGAGGGGCTGTTTAGAAGCGTGTCACAGCCACGAGTCATTTGTGTTATAGCTGGTTATAAGCACATCTGTCATTTGAAGGTGTAGTCGGGTGATTTAAGCAGTCTTGTGACTGATGGGACTGTAACCATCTATAACACAACTATGCCACTGCCTACAAGATATGAATCTGTCTTCTTTATAAACACACTACTACCTGCTAGGATGGCATTTCTTTATAATTTTTCAGCCAGTTTAACTCCATCTGGCTGCAGTGCTAATGGATGGAGATTGCCCTTCCAAAAATACCAATGAATTGAGGCCACTGGTGACAGACAAGAAGGCATGAAATACAATAAGAGAAAAGAATCTATACAGTCTTCTATGGAGCTGAGGCTCAGTAGCTCACCAAGCRCCAGGTGGCAAGTAAGATACCTGTTCTGTAGACACTAAATGAGATTTCTCATCAGGGTAGACATGATTTTGATTACACAGTTACCTCTCAGCAGGTTTCCACTGTTTTGGATTTTTTAAATTATTTTTGTYGCTTTCTGTAAAGAAGAAATAAAACAGGATGGAAGAAAGGTTGTCACTGAACAATTAACTSAATATACTGGTTTTATTTCTCTTCTGCAAGGTATCTTGCAGATGACAGAGGATTAAGCTGTGACAGTTAAAAGATGCTTTTTACCATTGAAATAAAATAAGAATATATGCTCAATAATTAAGAATGTCGGAATAGTGACTATGGTATCCATGAGCCACAGACAAAGGTGGGGGAAGATTAGGTTTTTTCCCTCTGCTTTTTCTCTGCTGTGTGTTTGCTCTGGAGAGATATGCCAGAATATATCTATCAGTCCTTTCATTCTGTTTCTTGAATTCTGTTTGCCAAGTCCACCTGTCTTGTCTGTGTGTTTATCTCAGCTCTGTGGATATAGATCTAAATTTGAAGTCCCAAGCTTAGACTTGTGCACACAGTTTCCCTGCTTCTGGTTATATRTGGAAGAATGCCCTTGTTCAAATCAGGGCTATAGTCACCCATGTCATCTTCAATATTCTTGATGTGTTCCTAAAGACTTTCTTCCTCCAGACTTGAAGGTTCTTAGAACAGCAGACTTCAAAGGTTGGCAGTRTTCACTTGCCTTCTTTGGGGAGAATTGCCAGGATGTTCCTATTACTGTATTTATTGGTCTCCCGCATATTTAATGTTGTTTATATGCCTGTTTTGTAGATGGACTCTTCTCAATTCACATTTATTTTCAACCTGCTGAGCCACATTAATAAGGTCATAATCTGTGGCTTAGTGGCATAGCAGAGTTTGCAGCAGCAGAAAATTTGGGTCTTTTAGCTGGAGAACGTAGGAGAAACAAATTCATGTGTGAGGAACTGAGAAAGTGGGGGAAGGGAAAGTCTTTCATTAAGTACATTTTAACCAGCAGTTTTGTAGGAAAGGAAACTTGAAAGAACTATTTGAAATGCTTTTATCCATAAATACAGTACTTCAGTTGCTCCTTCTGCCTAAGTCATTTTCTCTAACTGAATATCAGAGCTTGATAAATACAGCTACATTATCTCCCATGGGCATTTTCTAAGCTGTAACAGTGACATTTCCTCGTGTCTTTATTTGTTTATTTGCATTTTCTCTCCTGCAAATGTATGAACCGCTGACTGCGCTGTGTATCGATGCCTGAAGGTGTCTGGGGGAAGGGAAAGAGTGAATTTGCACKCTCAGCTGTTCACGAAGGAGACGGTGTCTTCTCATGGTTTGATCCCAGTGGGTGATCAAACTGGGAGATCTACTGGGGACTGGTTTAGAACATGGATTTCATGCACTGACTGAATGAGGAGTTGAGCAGGGCATTTTCTTATGGCATGGGACACTGTAATGAGCCCTCAATACATCTAGGCTATAGCTGTCATTTTTTTATGTGAGAGGGCTTATATATTACTGTTAGTTACTAGAATAATAAACTTTTAGTACAGTCAACTCTTCTATTTGGTTGCCAAAGTTTCTTCCATTATTTTGCCTGCTCTCTGAAAGAGTTCTATTAAAGAGAGGGGGAAACCCTTCCTAGAAAATGCAAGTTGCAGCAGATTATTCAAATAGGTCCCCATTTAGCAATGCTCTTAATTTTTTTTTGAGTTCTGTTCCATTCTCCTTGAAGAATGAGAGCCAGTATAACTCTTGAATTTGGGGGCCTGGCTTTTAGTCACTGRCGCAAATGGGTTGTGCCTTGAAATAACAGGAGAGGAAGTCTC